ATAGCTTGTTGTGGGTCATCATAAGAGAATCGTGTGTTTCAGAACTTTTATGTGTTTTGCATGTGAGCATCCGTTCTGCTTCTGTAAGACAGAACAATAGGTAAAACACATCAAAAGGCCACACAGCCAGTGAGCCACAGTTGACATGTTTACATTAAAAGGCCTATAGAACCAGTGTTGCCCTTGACAGATCCAGAATGAACAAAGTACACCACAAGCGCCAGTAGCATGTGTCAAAGATAAAAGGAGGGGAGGGAAACTTCAATGTTCAGTGTAATACACTTTCGAGTCTCTGTTTTATCTATGTCATGACTGGAGCATGCCCTTGGGGGTTTTTTTGTGGCTAGTATATTCAGCTTTGTATCTGTAGTGGACAGTTCAGTGGCATTTGAGCAGGGTTGGGCTCTTGGCTTTCTAACGTTTTGTTATTGTTAAAAGTTTAACAGTAGCTCAATATTTTTCAGGTGCCATGGCAGTGGTACTGCAGTAAGCCTTCTCATAGCAAGTATATATGACCCTTAGTTTGGATAATATTGTTGGGGGGAGCACCCAAAAGGCTCCTCGCAAAGTTTTTAAAGTGTCACTAAACTCAGGAGTTGAGCATTCCAGTACCTTAACTATTAACAAAACATTGTATATCACTCAGCTGTAGAGCCTCAAATCATCTCTGAATTGGTGCTGACACTGTCCTTCCTTCTGCAGTGTGGCTACTTTTGTTTCTCATGGTCCTTTCCCAAGGCTCAAATTCAGAGATGATTTGCGGATCTACAGCTGAGTGATACACAAATAAGATACATTTTTGTTAATAGGATACTTTAAATGCATTTTTAAGGTTTAACGCCTGAGTTTAGTGCCCCTTTAATGTCAGAGCTGGTCATGATGGTGTACTGGAATTCTTTTTCATTGCTGAGAATACTTTTACTACTACCCTGTGCTTTATTGGGGAAAACCAAAGCTTTTTGGATGTTTTGGACTTAGTAGTGTTACATTGTGGTGTTAAACATTTTTTTTTTGTAGCATCCCTTTATCTTTTAGAAATGCCTTTCGCAAGGCTCAAGCACTGTCACATGATGGAAGGGGTGACATAACTGCTCCCTCTTAGCTCTGACACCAGGCAGCACCAAATGTTTTAACGGTAAAGGCATTTTCAGATCAAATGCAGGTGCTGCTGTCAATTTCTGTTACAAATAAATAATTTGGGGTGTACAAAATGACCCATATATCTTCCCTTCTTGTTCTTATGATTGGCTCATTGCTTTTCACAGAAGTTACACTGAAATACAAGTATAATCTCAGACATCCCCTTTTAGCAGGAGTTTAATTTTTGGCAAGTTGCTCTCTAAGTCTTGTCCACTTCTAAAAAGATGCATCTCTAACCCTGAGGTGCTCCTATTAAAGGCACTCAGTGAAACAGCAGCTCTTTCAGAAAAAATGACCTCTATGTGGTTTGCAATAAACTATTATGAACAATGCCACGCATTGCAGTAAAACTGGGTGTCATTGCAATTTAGTGGCACCGCAACGCACGGCACGGTGTGAAGCCAACCACAGGGGCAACTCTAATTTCAGTTTTGCCTAATGCTACAACACCACTGGAAGTGGATAAAAAAATAAGTAATAAAAAAATTGCTCACCACCTTTCCATGTTTCAGTTTGTTCATTATTGCAGGTGAAACATGTGTATACTTTAAATAATTTCCCTGATTATTTGACAGAATCAAGTATTTGCCATCTCGTATTTAGAAGGTGTGAGTGGTAGTTCTGAGTGGCACTTTTTATTTCGTTCTGCTTTGAGGGTTATTTAAATTTCTTTAATCTGATAGCAGTGCTTTTATTTTGAATTTAAAAAAAACAAACAAATCTTATTGCTTGCTAGGTATCCCTACACTGAAAATCCAAGAGCCATGATCTACTCTGGCAGGAAAGAGAGAAGCGGAAGGGAGAACATGGTACTTACTTTCTTGTACATTTATCCACTTATTTGTATATACCAGTATATTGCACCTTATATTTTTGTTTGGGAGCACGCTATGAGAGATCAAAGGACTTTTACCCATTTGATATGTGCTTGTAGTTCTGGGGCTTGTGTTTTAAGCAAATCTGAAATGGTAAAAACTCTCCTACATAATTATTGGCTGCACACTATAGGCACCTTTTTCAGGTGCCTGTGTATCATGTCCTTTCCTCCATCCAGTTACTCAGGGAGCAAATACACAAGTATTAATCCAGCTTCTACGAAGTCTTATTGGCCCATCACAGTGGCAGGCAGCCCATACAATAGTGAGGCTAAGAAATGGGTGGCATGCACCTCTTGACTAGGGAAACTTGGTCATTATACTGTATATGTACCAGGTCAACATTGGATTTGGGTGCACACAAGGAACAATGAAATGGTATGTAACACATAATGTGTAAGCACCTGGAAGTGACCACAATGTGCTGCAAAGCAGTTGTGTGAAACTTCCCCCTGCGTTTTGGGGCGGGAGGGGGCGTGGCGGTTTGCCATGCGTTCGATCCACGCCCCCTCCTGCCCCAAAGCGCGGGAGGAAGTTTCACAGCGATCGCGGTGCATTCCAGCAGCTACCGCTCTGGCTGGAACGCACACGCTTTAGGTGTGAACAAGCCCGCTAACTCTTCCACATCATGTAGTGAACTGACTGCTGTTGGTGCATGTCACTGTCGCAAAGAGTTCTACTCTCAAAAAGCTGTTGTCATGAAGCATAATCCTGTGGGCTCAGGTTAGCAGAATTGTTGTGTTTTGTTAAATGTTGAACTTGAGCAACAAAAAGAGAATAAGCGCAAGAAGAAAATGTATGGTCTGATGTACTAGACATAACCTTTTATACTCTTTTTCACCACCCAAAAAATTCAGAGTAATGTCATACAAATTAAACTGAAGCTAAACCTGAACCTAAATGGTCATTTGATGTGAACAGTGATATAAGTGACAATTTAGTAAATTTGCTCCTAATTTTGAGCACATCTGTAAATGGCAATAGCTATTTGGGGAGATGAACATGTAAATGATACTTTCTTTCATGTGTACCTACCACATAAATGTCCCGGTTTGAGCAGCTACAAGGTACTGGTTAGTTGCTGCATCTGTGTTCATAGTCTCATACCCATAGTAATATATAAAGGGAAATTGAGTCCAGCCTTGGATCCAGGTGCTATTTTTACCAGGCTTTGAAGTAAAGAAGTATGGGCACATAGGTGAATATAACATACTACGTCCACCCACTGATCCCGTCTTTGATTGGATATGTTAAATTTGCTGTTTACTGGAAGACCTATTTTTAAGCTACAACTGGGATGTAAATGTTTTAGATGGAAAATGAAAACTGCTATTTGCTAAATGTACATTTTTCTAAGGTAGCATTTTAATATTTTAAATTCATGTTTTGTTGCGTTCCAAACAGCTGTGTTGTACCTGTCTGGCTGCACTGTGAACCACAGTATGTTGGTCTATTTCTGTGACCACATGCTTTCATATGCAATAATGGATTTGTGAGCAAGTCACTTTTTGTGTGTGGTGTATTTTACTGGATACTTTAACCACTTGCCGTCCGCCCGTTGTAAAAAAACGGACGGACGGCACTGCTGCATTGGCGGGTTGCCGTCGCCAGACGTCATTTTTTTTCTGCTTGCGCGCGCCCCCTAGCGGGCACGCACGGGCAGAAAAGAACCGACCAATGCAAACACCCGCTACCGGGTGTTTCACATATAGACGCTCGGCGGCTCCATAGCCTGCCGATCGTCTATGTGCTCGTTTCCACCACCCCGCGGCCGCCGGTTTAAACCCCCCCGACCCCTCACCTTGAATCCCGGGATCCGCTTCCCCATCTGCGGCCCGGTACCGGCTCGGAGGGTGTCAGGAGGAAGAGGACGGGAGATCAGCTCCTTGCTGATCTCCGTCCGGGCTGTGAATGCAGAAGTGATGTGTATTACATCACTTCCGCATTCACCTGTCAGTCATCTGGCTGCTATAGCCAGAGAAAAGAAGCTGATGAAGCAGATCTCTGCTTCATCAGCTTCCTTTTGGGGTCCACAGGTGACATTAGGGGTCCTAGAGACCCCTAATGTCTCCATAAAGAGGACCTGTCAGTGTGCCTTTGCTATTATATAGGGGGATTGTTATCCCCCTATATAATAGCAATAACAATAAGTGCAAAAATAAAAGTAACATGTAAAATAAAAGTCTCATATAAAAAAAGGGGGGAAAAAACCACCCAAAATGTTTAACTCCCCCACCCCCACGTTTACGCGCCTATAAACGTAAATACGCATCCTGTGCCCCAGCGCGGAAAAATTCCAATTGCGCTACACATGTTGCATATCGCTGCGAACGTCGCAGTGAGAGCAATCATTTTAGGGCCATAAACCACTGATAACACTAAACTGATGAGCGGTAACAGCTTTTAAAGCGTCGCATATGGCCAATTTTGGGTATTATCGTTTTTTGAGGTTTCGCGCGTGCACGCAATTTTAAGGTTTGACATGTTTGGTGTCTTTTTACCCGACGTGACCCCGTCTTTTATATTTTACCAAAAAATTGGGTAATAATAAATGTTTTATCATTTAATATAGGGGAAACTTTTTTTAATTTCGGTAATTTTTCCTTAATATAGTAAAAAAATAAAAACCCCAGTGGTGATTAAATACCACCAAAAGAAAGCTCTATCTGTCCTCAAAGGGTATAAAATTAATTTCAGTACAGCGCTGCATGACGGAATAAATGTCAGTCAAAGTACCGCACGCTGAATACTGAAAAATGACCTGTATGTGAAGGGGGTTTAACACCGCGGATGTCAACTGGTTAATATACGGTATTACAGTATGCGGTTATGGAGATACATTGGCTGTGGTGCAGGCTCCATAGTGAATTTCAAATAAGCTTTTAGTTGCAGTGGAGAATATTAAACAAAAAATCCATTTGATGTTTCCGTTTTTAGTATTTTTGTGTTTTTAATGCACATATTCTTCCTCCCCGTTGTGTACAGGTTCGCTGACTTCGTGGAGGGTTCATCTCATCTGTCACCAAATGAAGTCTCTATACACGAACATGAATATGGTCTTGGTGGCTCTTTCTTGGAAGATGAGTTGTTTGGGGAGGGAAGTGACATGAATACGGACGATAATGATGACGAACTGGACAATGGAATTCAACAACGCTTGTTGAGGTCACCTCATAGTTGAGGTTCCTTGGACTTCCTCTTTCATAAAAGCAATAAAAATCATATTGGAGCCATATTTGGACTCTTGGAAAGTCACTGGTTGAAAACTGCTCTGGAGCTTCTTACCCTTGTGACCTTTAAAGACTTGTCACCAGAACTAGGTTTAAATTCCTCAAATTTGCTCGGTGCTGTTTTCCTTCAGCTCTAGATTCTGCACTTTGTGCTACTATGCAAAATGGCAAGCCTGCTGGATATACTGCACAACATATGGGTACATGTACAGTTACAATTTTAACTATATTTGTAGATACCACAACAGATCAGTCTCTGCATTGCAAAGGTATCTATTGTAATTTATTTTTTGTTTTGTTTGTTTTTTCTTCCTTTTAAGGCCTATACACACCCATGCTTTCCATTTCCCCCACAAACCATTTTTTTTTTAAATTAAGAATCTATCAAAACGCATGTCTGAGCACATTAATGTCAACACATGTTGGGGTGCACTTTGTATTGAATACCAACGCACATCACTGTGTGTCGAAGTGTGACTTAGTGTGACTTAACTCATGCGCTTTGATATGTCAATCCAGCCTTCTAGAATTATTCCTAACAAGCTTTTTTGTTTTGGACAGAGCGGGAAAGGTTCGGAAACAGTCTTTGGCATTGAGTACATTTCCCCTCACAATGTTGCCAGTGGGACAGGAAGTACAGGGAAAATTGCTAGACAATAAAAATGTGATGACAGTGTTAATCTTCTCCCACTGTAATGTGAAAATTGTTTCTGTTGCTACCACATGCCTGGTACAGAGTTTTCACTTGTTGTCCTGTTAACATTGTTGGTCAGAAAGGAAGTGAAGGAGAATCATCCCTGGGGGACCCAGACAGCAATGAAAACCTGACAGGGGTTCTAATCATTCCCAACTCTATCCAAAATTACAAAAACAATCACTTTATTAACCAAAGATGGCCTGGGCTAATGATGAGCTCAGTTTTGTTTGTCAAAATTTAGGCTTTTAAAATGTATGTTCTGGAGAGTTTTCCCAGATGTATTTTTTTTTTTTCATATAGCAAATATGTTAATGTTGTATTAAAGAAAATCTTGGTGCCAGAGAACTTGTGATAGGGATATCTGAATTCCAAGCCTACCTCAGTGCCCGAGGAATAATGGGGCCCTTTTATATATAGTAATGCGCAGGTGTCATTTGCAGTATACACAGCAACTGTGCTGACACATCACTAATTAAGTGTTATTCTGTATTCCAATACTTTTTGTAAAACCATAAATACAGTAAGTGTGTGTGTGTGTGTGTGTGTGTGTGTGTGTGTGTGTGTGTGTGTGTGCTCCACCTCTACACCCCACTATCAGCCCATATAGGCCACAACCTTTTTTTTTAAAATAAGTATTTGATGCAAGCAGTGTCAGAGGCCATTTACAAAATATTTTGGGGTAAATTATGAAACTAGTGCAGACTGAAATGCGGGCTGGTAATATACATTACTAAAACTATTCGATTTTGCTAATTTTACCTCACAAGGTCTAATTCCCTGGACCTTGGTAACTAATGCCCCGAGAATGGTGCTTATTTAAGTCTTTTATATTGCTATCACTGTAAGCACATCAATCTGTACGTCTTGGTTTTACCTCGTGAACTAGTGAAACAGCGGGACTTTTTTGCACTATTAAATGCCATGCACTTTGCTCAGCTTTCATCCTCCCACTTGCTTTAGACATATCTTGTGTTTTAACCTAGGAATATTAAATAGTGTAAATAAGATCAAGATTAGTTAACGTGGAACAATGTGACTATCCCCAGTGTTCACCTCCAGCAGTGAAAGGTTCTCACTTTGGCCATTCCTCTTCAGCCATTGGGCAGCCACGGATGATGTCGCTCTTGGAGTTGCGTTGTCCTGCAATCTACATTATCTGCATCTTACAGATGTTCCACAGGCAGTGTATGCAAGACCAATTTTAATAACGTGCTAGCAAAGTAGTTTTGATTTTTTTTTTTTTTTTTTTTTTCTGCAAAAAATACTTTTACCAAATAACTCTACCGTTTTATAATTTTTTTTTAAAGTTTAGCCTCGCTCAGTTTACCTTGAATCTCTGCAGTGCATGTGATTGATGAATGAGACGTATATACCCAAATTTCAAAACGCATAATAAAACATTCACTGCAGATGAATCAACCACTGTAATTTAAAACGCATGCACCATATAAAGCTATAGTGTATTTGCTGAATATCGCAGGCACTGTTTTATAAATATGACCTTTTAGTGTTCATTTGCTTATAGCAAAACTTCACAATTGTGTAGCTTGAAAACTATAAAACCTCATTATTGTCAGACCTGATTGCCAGACCTGATTCAGCGCTCAGTAGAAGGTTCCTAGCTGTCGGAGGGCTGCAGTGTAAACGTTTATTCTTGGCAACCAATCAGAATTCACTTTACTGGAGCCAGAACTGCCCAAGAAGAATTGTAATTTGCCGCTGTAGGTTGAAGACTATACGTGTAGTGCTTTTCTTTGAACACTCTTGAGTAAATCTGGCAGACTTCATTTATATATCCTATATGGTAGCCATTGCTAAATATGTTGCTTACAATGTTTTTATTTAACTGTGATGTCTGCAACGTACAGCAGTAGAACCGCTTTTGTATATGGACATGGGTAGGACCGCAAGCTAAGTCAGGCAGAAATATTCTTTTTGGTGTCTGGGTATATAATAATCTTTGGCAGCCAGTGTGAAAACTGACTTTCCTGGGGCATTCTCTGTTTGTTGGTGCCTCCTTATCTATCGTACAGGATTTTTTTTTCTTCAGGTGGACTGGGCTGACGCATTCTTGATGCGAGGCATTGTACAAGCAACAAAAGTTGATGGTTATCGGGGGATTTTTATGGGGTTAAATTGTGACTTCAAAGCGGTATCATTTTTGCAAACAGGCTGATGTATAATCAATCGAATCATTTTGAGATTCAAGACTTCTAGACAATTGAAGGCTGACTTGAGGTGACTTACCCTAAATGTATGGTATATACTATATCAGTAAATCTATATTGCAACTGACTGACTTCTTTTTTTCTTATATTTACACTGCAAAGATATCCATAGGCAATACTGCTGAATATAATTTAATTTTTTCAGTATGCTTTCACGTTGCAACATTTTGTGTTTATAAAATATATATATTTTTTATTAAAAATGTTTGTTATATTTGCTGCTCAGGTGTCTTTCTTTCATACTTGGGGTGGTTAGGCTATGGTATAAAACTTGGTGCAATGTTAAATCTCTGTATAAAAATACATCATAATCTATGGCCTCTTTCAGGGGTGTCCCCAAAATGATTCAGTCTGAGGCGGTATCTCATTGGGGGAGGGGGCAGCAGCACTGCCAAAGAACTGCAAACTCACCCTGCTGACAGAACGGTAAATATGTAGATAAGGAAGCGATGTCTTCTGCAGTGAGTGGCCTGTCTGTATATAAAAAAAAAAGAAATAAAAATGCAAGTCCCCTGAAATGAAAAAGTTGCCATTCTTTTCTATCTGGTGCCCCATATCTCCTACCTTTCTTCTATTCCAGTGCTGCAGCCTTTGTAAGATTTTTCAGCATTTGTTTCTTGCATGATTTTGATCAAGACAAATGCTGTTTGAGCTAGTTTCTACACCGTGGATGTTGCTCTTGGCTGCAAAGTTTCTCTTTTAGAGCAGCATTTTGCTTGTAGGCTTTCCTTTTAGTCATCTCCATTTTGGGTACAGCTCTGCGGTTGTGGACGTGTCACCAGGTCGAGCTTGGATTGGAGTACTTCTAGTCCTAATACGCCTAATCAGGTAAGCGAGCCCTGCAGTGGACGTTTTTCCTGTCTGGTTCTAGTGACCCCACCAGGTATCCTTGTGGACAGGTCTGATCAACTTACTGTTTTCTGGTGTCACTGCACCAGTATGGAGTGGTTGTCTTGACACTTATGTCTATTTCAATTTGATGTGGGGTTTTTTTTTTTTTTGCACCTTCTTTTTTTTTTTTTTTCCTGTCAATCTCTCTGCCTTACGGTGGTTCCTGTGGGGTGCCCCCAACTTCTAAGATAGGAAGTTTAAGGCTTTGCCGTTTTGTCCTTCCTAGACTGACTGGTGTACCCCTGTGGACCTGTTGTCTGGTTATATTTTGAGCTATCTTAAGGGTGGGAAACCTCCCAGTGTTTCCCTTGTTTATTTTTTTTGTTACTGGTATGTTCTTCCAAATTTGGTAGCTCTAGGCTCTGCTTCCTTTTACTCAAAACTTCTGCTTGTGCGGACTCCTTTTTTGCCGATCACTCTTATCCTGGTGTGAGCATCAAGATGATACTCTGTGATCTCCACTGGGTCATAAGCAGTGCCTCC